GATAAAATTATGCCGTAAGATAAGCAGTATTAGAACTGCACCTAAGTAATCCTTCCCAATACAAAATACATTTCAGAATTTCCGGCAATATTTCATGGGATCAGTCACTCACTGTAGTATTACAGGAAGCACTCTATGAGTTCATGGGCTACCTAGGCTGTATAAACACAAAGTAGACCACAGCATGGCAACTTGATATTTCTTTAGTCCACGCATCTGCCTGCGCGGAGCACGTTCTCAGCCATGTGCCTATGCTGAATAAGTACTTAGTCGAATCCGCTAAACTTGTGCATCGTACGTATTTAAAAAAAACAAGCCCAAACCATCGAGGTAATTTGCTACTTTTTTTGTAGGGCACTGCACGAATTTGTTTGCGGAGTATACACTTATATGTACTTAACTGTGATGTGAGTGGCAGGAAGATTTTAATTTATCAAACTGCCTATGTCCGATTGTGTGACAGATGAAGACATATACTCTGGCCCGCTGACCAATCTGGCCCATAAGCAGATGAATGTCATTGTTGTAAAGAGAGTATGAGGTGAACCAGATAGGAGGTTAGGCAAGAGTCGTCTGCGTGCAACCGTGTGTCTAAGCAGGTAGCAAATGCGTGCGTAGTTAAGGAGGAGACAAGTGACAAGGGAAGGTACACGAAGTCAAACCCACTCTCATTAATTTCGACATGAGGCAAAAAACTCTGCCGAGGCTGACTGCGATCCTCCTGGTACACACCCATCGCAGGCAGCGGGCATTGCTGACACCTTGAATGACGAGTTTGTTCGCCTCCGATACAGTGCCTAGACGATCACGCAGTTCTGCGTAGAACCTGTTCTACACGACATTGGGCCTGCTCAGTGGGTTGAATAGTGGCATGGCAGTTGGCGACGGTGGCGAATTTCCTCTCACAGAGCGGCGGATTCATGGTCACAAGACAATCTCTAACGCCTTTTGGCAGGCGGAACAACCGTCCCACGGCGTTATTTCTAATGACAAATTCGACTGTGACGACAGGTAGCTATGACCATGAGGTACCTTTCAGACAGCAATATACTCATGACACATCTACTCCAACTGTCAGAGTTGGGAGAGGCCGTCACCAATTGGAGCAGAATCATCCGCTTTTTAGAGTCACACTCCTAACTTTGAGATTGAGCAGTGTCACTTTACTAAACTGAGGGATAGCAGGACAAATGGACGGTGGTGATAGCCTTGTTGATTTGACGAGTAACTATCCTAAGAGAGGGACTCTCGATGTCGAAAAACGATAGCGCATTTACAGTGCGTGACCTATCTCATAAAATCGGAAATCGGAATCTGATGAGAGAATTTCTGGACGACTTTAACGTTGCGCATTTTGTTTGCTCATCCACTTCCTTCAAGAAAATATCTTTTTCCTGTACAGAAATTGTGTTTACGTAATTATATCAGGTAAAATATCAGTAAATTTGACTGAAAATTAACGTTTGAATATATTCCTGCAATTTCCTATGCTAATACATGGCTTAGACTCCAGTTAAGCCTCTGAGCGACTTTTTTATTGAAAGCGTAGTAATTCACCCTCGATAATTTTAATAAACAGATTTGGCCGGACTAGAGATTTTACTTCATGTCCGATGTTGACTATGGTTATCAATCTCCTAACAAAAAGGCTATTTTAAGAAAACCAGGGGTTTTATCACTTCCTGTATGTCCAATTAGCAGATCTGTGCGAATTTGTGACCTAAAGTGCAATAATGACGCAGATAGAGATTCCTTCGTTTAAGTGGGCTGAAACGTTTTTGCAGTTTGGAAAATTCTACCTGATGTCACATAGATGACCACCACGGACTGGTCTTTTCCATCTTTAAACATATGAAAAACTACTTTTCTAGTATTTTAGCTTCTGTGCATACTTTCTTCAGAAGTAGAACGAGCAAAAATTTTCAGATCCATCAAAATATCTGCATTTGTATGGACGCTCTGCCGTGCATTCATAATCGAAGAGCGAAGTCTAAAAGCAAGCAAAAACAGTGGAAATGACATCAATGTATCAATAAAGCATTTTCTTGCGTTTACGGTAGAAAAATGTTAGTATTGCTTAGGAACGTGAATGAAACCGTCAAGAGTGTCAAATGTTTACTTGGTCTCGCCGTGCAAAAATGCAAAGTACACAGTGATCTGTCGACGGAATGCAGTAATAAAGCACTTCCTAAAAAGGTAACTTATTAAGGAAAGTTTTCTTATTGGTCGAAGGCATATTCATTGCTGACTTTCGTTGTGGACCGACAATTTTTTCGAAAATGAATTTTGATGTTTGAATGAGTCCTCAAATGTGACCCAAACGAGCATCTTCGTGAAAAGGAGCGCCTGAACACTCAGTAATTCGGTAAATGCTTTCAATAACAATCTTATTGTAAAGTTCTCAACAGACAGGCAATTCAGAATCGGTCTCTATGGACGATAGGGTGAAAACACTGAAAATCATGAAGTATTCAGCAATATTTCGAGGCCGATCGGAAACTAAACCTAACTCAAAACGAAAGAAGAGTATAAATTAATTTAACGGAAGAAAGGTTCCCTCTATAAACACAAAATGGTATGTTTACGATCACTCCTGTCAGTTCTATTTCAAATTATTAGGTACCGGCCGGCCTCATGGCATGTCGCCTTATGAAAACTGTTGATCCTAGGACGTCCCCATCCGCGAAGTCAAGCAAAATCCAGTTTTACCTGTTTAACTCCATCTCATTCAACTTTAAATCGTTAATGAAATTATAAAACACTGGAAAACTGTTTTGGAATTTACACACAGAATGTAGGCAGTTGACAAACCGTCATATATGATGCCACACTACTTATTAAACGATATTTAGATGTAAATTTCACTGAAACGATGCTATTAGGCGTGATTTTATGTCTTCTTTCCTATTTACTACGTATTTGGTATGAGAATACATTCTATACATCTAAAAATGAAGTTTACTAAATAAGAGACATTTCTGACGTTTTTGGGATATTGCGCTTATCAAAATAAGTCGGCATTTCTAAACAAATCAACAATGCCTATTATATTTCTTTTTATGTTTTAAATTCTTTTAATCTTGAACTTAATTAGCATAGACATTTGACTCGTGAAATGTTGTCGGTTTACGAGTGATTGGCAATCATTCGAAAATTCTGACACATTTCATGAGTAAGGTCACGCACTCTAAGTTACATTCGAAGGATTATGAGGATTATGCAATGGGCAAGTCCTGAGACAAGAGAATTATCCTTCAGTTCACTGCAATGACGGTGGAGGGAGGATTTCAATTTGCGAAGCTGTCTATGAGTGAATATGTAGCAAATGACATCTAGTTGTGTAAAATCATAGTAGCGGACCGTATTAGATAATCTGGCGTTCTAACACGTCTGGATCATCTACTCCAGCTGTCAGATTTGGAGCGGCTGGAAACAATGGGAACAATAGGATGCATTTTCTAGAGTGAAATTCTTGACTGTCAGATTGAGTAGTTTCCCTCTTTCGACTGTGGGAAATGAGGGCAAATGGACGGTGTTGATCTTCTTGTGCGTTATTTTGAGCAGTTTTTAGGTCAACAAGCCATAGACAGGCTGCCGACACGGTGTGTTGGCGCAATTTGTAAGGCACCTGTTCGACCACCGCCCCCGCGAATGAGCGAACAATGCTGTCCTTGCATTGCGGTGCACAATTATCTCAGACAAACATCGAATAACATTGTATAGGACACGAATTTTGCTTAGCGAGATAGCGCCTCGAGTTCGAGCAGTTCCCATATAGATTGCCCGTTGCACTCTCCGCATGACGTTTTTGCTTGAAGAGGCGACTGAGTGTGGTGATTAATTTTGAGACGACGACGACCTGTGAAGGCGCAGTCATACACAAGCCGAGAGTCCTCACCTGCTTTTGTTCGCCTGTTAAGATGATTTCATTATTGCAAACGTCATGCTGCACAAATCTTCCTGAAACCACCCATGTCAACAGGGTATAGGAATGACGAGTGCGGTTTACTATTAGTGAATCAATTTTAGTAACTCTTACTACCCAAAATAACTGCGCAACAAGTCCCAGTTGACGTCGCCTACGATCTTTTTTATGCTTGCTAATATTCGGCCTTGTATTGGTACTATAGTGTTGCTAACGATGCTGCTTCTGAAATTTTGAGTTACACGAGGAAACTGGATCGTTTTTGGGTTTGCAACTTGTAGAATGAGAATTCCTAATTCTTGATCACCGGGTCTCTCATTCGACTTAAAGTCACGTAGCATCAACAGCCGTCTCGCGAGGATGGATGACGAACGCCTATCCAAGCGAATATTCTACGGCGATGTACATAGCTACACGTGGTCGCTGACAAAAAGGGCAAAAACACCTTGAGTTCTCTCGAACACGTACAAATCAACATAGCGACCTGTGATGATCTCGTATTGGATCAATTTATCTGGAGAGGAGCAATGAAGACAGGAGCATCAATCTTGGAAATTAACCGGATCACACCTGCCAAAGCCGAAAAGCTACCTGCAGGCCCCAAGTTCCACTGATTCACACCGCCAACTCCCGATCCCTCCTAACATGCTCCCGCCACCAACGAATATTTTGTGCACAGTCCGACCTCGTCCTACATCCCCGGATCCAATAGAAGCGTAACCCGACAATTCTACCTGTTACCTCCACAAGCGCCCCACCCGAAACCGCTATAAAATCTCCCACCGCATTCACGACAGCAATTATAACATTCTTGATGCTACAACGTGTCTGCCGACGTAGCCCACCCTAAAGGGCACTAAAGGGCACTCCAACCTACGGACTGGCAAAGTGGCTGTTCCAACGTCTCAAGTTTCTGACCTCCGATTCGAACACCACAGTCAGCTCGTCAACGCAATTCTTGGAGAAACTTAAAGGAGTAAGTCTCCTGCCAAGCGATATCATGGTTTCCTTTGATGTCACGTCCCTTTTTACTTCTATCCCGCAGGACCTGACAGTCGAGACAATCGAACTACTCCTACGAGAGAAGTAGGACGAAACGGAGAATCGCCTCGGACACGCCCAAATCATCCAGCTCCTGAAGTTCTGTCTCAAGACGTACTTTACATTCGACGGAACAATCTACGAGCAGGTGAACGGAACGCCAATGGGTTCGCCGATTTCGGGACTCATAGCCGAGGCGGTCCTTCAACGGCTGGAGTCGCTGGTTTTCCGACACCACAGACCGAAATTCTGGGCTCGGTATGTGGATGACACCTTCGTCGTCATCGAAAGGGATCAGGTGCTGACTTTCAAAGAACAACTCAACGCCGTCTTCCCGGACATTCAATTTACGATGGAGGAGGAGGAAAACAATCAGCTGGCCTTCCTGGATGTCCTCGTCTGCCGCAAAGATTGTGGTGGCCTAAAAACCAAAGTGTTCAGGAAAGCGACAAATACGACGCAAATACTGAACTTCAATAGCAACCACCCGATCAGTCACAAACGCAGTTGCGTAAGGGCGCTATACCGGCGTGTTGAGACGCACTGCAGTGAAATGGAAGACAAGGTTGCTGAATTACAATATCTTCGACGGGTAATGACAGCCAATGGTTACCCGCGCAACTTTGTCAACCAGTGCATACGAAAAGGACACCAGAGACCAAATCCAACTAGCCCCAAATTTTGGCGGACTCTTCAGTACGTGAAGAACGTCTCGGAAGCCGTCAGTCGTCTTCTCACTCCACTTGGAGTTGGGGTTGCACACAGGCCGGAAGCAACCATTAGGCGCCAAGTAATGAGGCCAAAAGACCCGCTGCCACGGCAGGAAACGTCTGGAGTCGTTTACCGGATCTGGTGTAGTTGCGGACAAAGCAATTATGTCGGAGAAACTGGGAGATTACTCCGTACGCGACTTGCCGAGCACGCAGCAGCAGTGAGGCGGGGAGACGCTAACTCTCAGGTGGCGGCACACTCGACGGGACCCGGCCATAATTTCAAATTTCAAGAGGCCGAAATCCTCGCAAGGGGTGACAACCGCGTGAGCCGCGAGCTGCTCGAGTCATGGTTCTCAGGCCCGCAATCCATCAACAAACACAATGACCTTCCGGTGGCCTATTCCGTATTGCGATTTTCCCTGGGCAGGAGGATCAGTCACGTGGGGAGGGCGCGGGTGAGCAATTATCACGGTGACAGTGAGCCAGTTTGCCGAGCAATCGTCACACCAGCATCGAGCACGGATGACGAAATCGCGGCAATTAACAACTCGGACTCGGACCGCCAAGCCACCGCCGCATCAATTACGACCCCAGCGGCGATTGTGAGAACTGTTAATTGCAGTGCGCATACGGTCCCACGGCAGCCACGTGCTATAAATACTGCACTCCTGGTGCCACCTTCACCTCTATCTGCGAATGTCTCTGATGATGGGTTCGAGTGTGAATCCGAAACGTCAGGCAAATAAACTTCTTGTCCCAGTGATCGCATCTTCATCTTCTGAACTGCTACCTGGGACTCGCCTGTTCGCTTCTATCAACAATCTCTCATCCCTGTTATGACTCCCACGACGACGATATCCCCTCACCAACCTCTACGGCCGCCCACACAACCAGCAGTGTGGTTTCGACCCAATCCTGACATACTTCTGAGCGCAAATTCACCCACTTATTGGCCTGATTGTTCACTTCTGAATTCATTCTACAGAGGCAGGCGAACCAGTTTCTTGAATTATAACATACACCCACTATACCCGCCCCATCTGCGCACACTGCTTATTCACATTCGGACATCGTATAGGCCTACTCTCTCACATACAAATCCGTCTAAACCTGCAGCAACTAGCGATTGGTCAAAACCCATCATCGCATATCTTTCCACAGGCACATGTGCGCAGAATACGACCACGTCCTTAAACAAACACAACAAGAACGGAATCGGCACCTTTCAAACCAATGCGATTACTTCGGCTTGGCTTGTTCTCGATATGGACCTCTGCTCCTATGACACATATGAGATCCTAGCCGCGCACCCCATTATGTGGAAACTTAATGTGCTATTTTGGAGCCGGTTCGTTTGACTGGCTGGCGCAGACGGGCTGATTCTAATCCTCTCAGTCACTGCACCTAATTTGAACTTCAGTTGGTTGACCTTCTCGTACAATACACTGGTAAACGGGAGAGGGAAGAGAGAGTGAGTTCGACTTTTCGCACATATTACTCTTTACTAAGCTATTCCTTCTCTGAAGGTTTGTTTAATATCGTGCTTTGGGGTGTTGCCACCTGATGGGATAACTTGACCGTTCTGTCAAGACGGAGAATCAAGCTACAACGACTCCTCACTCATTTGGATCCGATCCGCCTCCCCTTATTCGCATGCAAAATGCTGTTCCTTTGTAGGCAGTACAGGGGCTTAGTGAGCGGCCCAGGTACGGGTTCACGCTGTGCCAGCCACCTACGACGATCCTGCTTCCGGTCTTCTCGACTCTGTCTTGATGTGGATTTCAGGTAGGAGAGGGGAGAGTGTGGTGGGCACAGCGAAATTTTACCATCACTCTTAACTCATTGGTTCGCAACTCACAGTCCCTGCGGCCACCCTGCTGTGGGCCAAACGAAGGCCGAAGTGTCAATATGCTGTAGGTCCTCCATTTTTATTACAGTTGTCATTTACATTCTTGTTACACGCCTTTACCCTTTATATGACGATTGATAGATGGAGATGGTGTGCTAATTCATGAAATGTTTACCGAAATTCTTAAATGCGTTTTCATCTCGAAAATATCACTTGAGTAGTCTTGTGAAACTAATAAGCCCTCAGCACACTTCCGTAAAAATTCAGTTAATCTAGATGACGGCTTTTGAAAAAACCTCTTTCCGGTCGCATGCGAAAGCCCTACTCAGTAAAAATGCTACGTATGTAGCGTGAATTTGTCTTATTCATGACTGGTGCTTTTAAATATTCAATAATATTTAATGAAAACACGCCTTAAGGCATCAGATCGTTTGCTCATTCGTAGAAAATTACATTTTTTTCCAATTATATGCTTGAAGTAAGGGTATAATTAATTTTCATACACGTTATCAATTTCCGAATAATTTTGAATCCGACCTGCCGTTAAACTTACACTCGGGGTTTCCAACTAGAAGCCGTTTATTTTTCGTGTATGGAAAACCGTACATTTTTCTACGATATTAAGAGGAAACCGAATGGGTTCATAAAATTTAGTAGTGGCTTTGTGTCACATTGCAAACTGTATAAGCTCCATCAGTAGATGTAGAGATTCGATGCTTTATGATGGGGCACTTCACGGTATTAAAAAATCGCATAATAAGAAACATTTTAAAAATGAAATTTTACCCAGTTTGAGGATAGATTTAAAAAAATATGCAAATCCCTAAAAAGTGATTAAAAAAGGAATAATCTACGTACGTTTTCTGTGAAATCAAATTAAATTTTTAAGGGTATCAAAGGTCAGTGGAAAAAAATCATGCACTTACGTAGCCATTTTTTACAGAGTGGCGTTTATGCATGCAGCCGGATAGATATTCTTTGGAAAGCCGGCATCCAAATGCAGCTGAATTATTACATACTTATGCTGTAACGGAATTAATTTTACTACCCTACTCAAGAAATCCTTTCAAAAAGAAAACG